TATTTCACGTGCGATGTTGCATATGTAGGATGTGACGTAACACAAAAGACGTGACGATGGAAACCGGGACAATCAAATGTGGACAACTAGAATGCGACATATTTTAATTACTCGCCTAGCCTATCTCGGCAAATGATCTCTAAGAATGCCAGATATGTTCATAATAAATTTCATCAGTCGAAAATTTTACTGCCTTGAGCAGTACCCTTTAATTCTATGCTTTCATGTGCCAGTCTATCCTAGATCAAGTCTGCACACCTGGACGTATTATTCTGTGCAGAGAGCGTGATTAATTTCAAGAGGTTTATTAAGCGGAGCTTGACGTATTTGAAAGTTTATTAATTTCTCCATGTACATCAGATAAAGCAAAACGTAATGAACCCAGACGTTTAATCGATTTTAAACAGCTGCATTTGTAAATCCGTATGATACCTGCCCTAAAATGCAGTATCAACGCCTCCTGACAATCCTTTATTAAAGCATTGTGATATTTTTTTGCCCCTTGAGGATGATTCATAACTTGCAGCAAAGTAGCCCTTCACAAAGTGGTTACGTTAACTTTGAGGCACGTAGTACAATATATTTTCATGGTCTAATTTCCCCTTATCTTTATTTTAGAAACGGAACGGTATAGGATTGGCAGTTTTCGCAAGATCTTGATATTCATACTGCCACTCTATTGTTCACTTACAGTCTCAGAACAGGCCAAAGGGCAAACAAATATGGTAAAACGTTCCCCAACGTAAACAGGGAAGTGGGCTCTTTTGTCTGCACCAGAAAAATAAGCATTTTTATCATTTACTATTATTATTTTCAGGGAACCGAAAACGCCAATGAAGCCCCTCAATTTTTGACTTAACTTCACCCTGGAAGAAGGCAAAGTATGCATACATCCGTCAAATAAACAGCTCACTAAGAGGTTTTTTAAAGAAGCACCTCCTTAGAAGAACACGAATCTAAGACAGATTCTCTGTTGTCTCTCGTTTTTTTAAGTTCGTTTTTTAAGGTGATATGGTTGCGTGTTTTGGTGAGGCCACAAATATGACCAAAATGACCATCCGTGTTAGAAAGATTGCCAAAGTACTCACGAATTCGGCAAATGCTTTCACAAAGTACCTTATTTTAAGGGGTTTGGCATGCATCTAGAACGAAATGCACATTTTCGGACAATTGATTAAAAACACTGAAAATTGAGAACTATTCGCCAATATTTTAAGGACGGTCGGAAACACACCGTGCTCCAGCCCTATAAAAGACTACAAATAACTCTCACGAAAAGATTCGCCTGATATACATTACAGTTGGACTATCGTCGATCAGTCTACGGAACGTGCTTGTGCCTTGTGCCTTGGGGCTCAGACTAAAGCCCTCGCAGGCGGTCGTACAGCGACTAGTGATATATGCAGACAAGGTGATACCGACAAAGACAAGGGAGACCGGAATGACCATTTCTGGCTTGTAAGCCGTCATCAGCCAGTCATACTCAACCCCAAGTGTGGATCACTTGAGATTCGAACCTGAATAATTTGGCTATGGAGTATGACACTTTACCATCAAGCCAAGGGCGCGTTTTCCAGTCGGTTGTGATCGGGAATATCAATTATGACGGTGGGCGGTCACCGATCAGGTCACGGAACATGCTCGTTCCGTTGTTCCTTGGGGCCCATACTAGAACCCTCACATTCAGTCGCACAGCGGCTAGTAGTAGACGTAAATGAGTTGGCCAGAAACGGTCATTCCGGTCTCCCTTGTCTTTGCCGATACCAACTCATAAAATGATATGTTTGCGATAACACTTGCCGATTCTGTTGATATCTATCAGTCAATGGCTGGCCTATGAACGTGAAACCTCATGAAAAATTCTATTCCGGTGACGTCTCTGTCGGAGAAACCAGGGGAGATCCTGCTTACCTTAGTCCGCTCCATCCCAAACAATGTAAATACGGGAAAATTACAGCTAGCTCTCATTAAGCCATCTTTGAATCTATACTCAAAATCCAGCCTGTCGACTAACTGGCATACTTGACAGTACAGTTATTCGTGAAAGACAAATTTCATAAAAGGACCATTTTCAAGTCAACGGTCCCAGGTAAAAAGCGAAAAATTACAGCCAACTCTCGTTAATCCGTCTTTAAATCTTTGTTCAAAATTTAGCCTGTTGACCAGCCGCCATACCAAACAATGCAGTTACTCGTGAAGAATACTCGGGCTATTTCCAAACGGTACTCTACTTGTGCTGTTTTACTTACTCAGTTCTGTTTGCATGGGCAAACCTCCTGTACATCTAAAACCTGACGTTTCATCGATTTTTCAACGTCAGTTTTGCAAACCTGTATGAGTTCACCCCCTATAATGCAGTAATTGCGCCTCCTGACAATCGTTTTTTAAATATTCTAGTATTTTTCCATTTTGAGAGTAAAAACTGACTTTTCGAAAAAAGGTCCTTCAAAAAGTGGTTATGTTAACTTTTTTGCATACGATGTAATACTTTTTGCATGGTTAAATTTTCAAGAAGCCTTAATTTAAAAATGGAATGAGTAGGAAATTAGGAGGTTTCGCAGTACCCTAATATTTATACGGACACACTGCTGTTCATTTACAATCTTAGAACGGAATTCAACAGTAGACAAGTATGGCGAAATGGAGTCAAATATAAAGAGAAATTGTTTTGTTTCGTTCCAGGCCGAAAATATCACCAATTTTAAGGGAATTGAAAAATCCAATCCGACGTTGTAATTTTCACCATGACTTCACCTTGGAAAGAGGTAAAATACGCAGACATCCGCCAGCGAAATATCTAAATAAGACGCTTTTTGTAGAGTTGTCTTTTTGGAGATAGTTGTTTTTCATTTATCTAACGCATGTTCACTGCCGACTGCCTTTGTGTACGTTCCTTGTTCTCTGCGATATAGCCACTTGCTTGAGTGAGTCTACAAATATGACCAGACGGTCACCTGCTTTGGGATGTCCAAGAAATCACTATTTCGCTAAATGCCTTCACGAAGTATCTTATTTTGAAAGTCTAGATTTTTGGGGAATCGATTGAAAACGCCGAAAATCGGGAAGTATTTACCGATATTTCAAAGATGTCCTCAAACTCATCGTGCTCTAGCGCCAGAAAAAAACTGCAATTAACTTCCACAAATAACGTTCACTTTCTATAAAGAAATCAGCATGATTACTCACTGACCGACCTCGCGACATGTGACCTCATGACAATGTTTATATCTGTGACTTCCCTATCTGCAAAATCAAGCGAAAACATGTTCATCTTAGTGCACCGCATCTCAAACAACGTATAAACGGGAAAGTTCCAGTCGGCTCTCGTTAATCCGTCTTTTAATCTCTACTCAAAATCTAGCCTGTTGACTACCCGCCATACTTGGCAATAAAGTTATTAGTTAGAAAAAGAAGCGATCGCTGGAACAAGGGCTTTATTCGCCTGACGTTTCGGATTCTCACTTGAACCCATCATCAGAGACAGTGGCAGAAAAGGGTGACTCGTGCACAGGAAGTTGCAGTATTTATAGGATGCAGTCGCTATTCTACCGCATACCTATAGCAATTAACCGCTCTCCCCTTCATCAAGGACTGTTGCCCGCTGGTCCGCTAATTGCTTAATGGTCGGCATACAAGTTGTTAATTGCTGAAATCCCATCACCCGTGTTGGATGCTGGCGTGATGATTGCTCGGCCATCTGGCTCACCGGCTTGCGCGCTCCCCGAACGGTTAATTACTTTGGCCAGCCTATGCCTCAGCTCGGAATATGGAGTGGGGATTTCGTTGCACTTGTTGATAGACTGAGGTCCCGTGAACCATGACTCAAGCAACTCGCGGCTCACGCGATTATCTCCTCTCGCGAGAATTTCAGCCTTATCGAACTTGAATGTGTGGCCGGGTCTCGTCGAATGCGCCGCGACATGAGAGTTGGCGTCATTTCTCCGTACCGGTGCCGCCTGTTGGGCAATTCGCTTCCGGAACAGTCTTCCGGTTTCTCCGACGTAGTTGTTTTGTCCGCAACTGCACCAGATCCGGTAAAAGACCCCAGATGTTTCTCGCCGTGGCAGTGTGTCTTTGGGTCTCATCACCTGACGTCTCATGGTGGCCTCTGGTCTGTGTGCAACTACAACCCCAAGTGGGGCAAGAAGGCCGCTAACAGCCTCGGAGACGTTCTTGATGTACGGCATCGCTCGCCAGAATTTGGGATCGGCACGATTTTTTCGTCCGTCTCGTTTGCGTATGCACCGGTTGACGAAGTTGAGCGGGTAGCCATTTTCTCTGAAAACCCGTCGAAGATATTGGGATTCCGAAACCTTGTCTTCCGGTTCACTGCAGTGCATCCTAACACGCCGATATAGCCTTCTTGAGCAATTGCGTTTGTAGCTGTTTGGGTGGTTGCTGATAAATTTCAGTATTTGAGTCGTGTTCGTCGCTTTTCTGGACAATTTGGTCTTTAGGCCACCACAATCTTTGCGACAGACGAGGACATCAATGAAGGCCATCTGGTTATTTTTTCCTCCTCCATCGTAAATTGTATGTCCGAGAAGACGCTGTTGAGACGTTCTTTGAACGTTAGCACCTGATCCTGTTCGATGACGACGAAGGTATCGTCCACATACCGAGCCCAAACTTTCAATCATTGATGTTGGAAGACCAGCAACTCTAACCGATATAGGACCTCCTCGTCTATGAGTCCCAAAATCGGCGAGCCCATTGGTGTTCCATTCACCTGCTCGTAGATTGTTCCGTCAAACGTGAAGTACGACCTTAGACAGAACTTTAGGACCTGAAGGACTTGGGCATGTCCAAGATGATTCTCCGTTTCATTGTATTTGCTTCGTAGGAGTAGCTAGACACCCTCGATTGCCAGATCCTGGGGATAGAAGTAAAGAGGGACGTGACATCAAAAGATACCATGACCTCATTTGGCAAGAAACTTACTCCTTTAAGCTTCTCCAGGAATTGTCTTGACGAACAGACGGTGGTGTCCGAATCGGCGGTCAGAAATCGGAGGCGCGAAACAGCCATTTTGCCAGTCCATACGTTGGAGTGCCTTTGAGCGATACAATGGGCGGCAGAGGAGCGCCCTCCTTGTGTACCTTAGGGAGACCATAGAATCGGGCCAAGGCAGTTTCTTGGGCTCTTGCCAGGCTTCGGTCGGTCAGTGTTATTGCACCCGAGTTCTCCAGTGCCAACAGTGTCGCACTAATTTCGCGTGGCAGCGTTTTTACGGGGTTGGTTTCACATTGGACATAAAACTGGCGATCCTCCAGTAGGTTTTTAGCCTTCTGAAGATGGTCTGTTCTGTCCAGTACGCCGGTGGAACGCCCCTTGTCCGCGGGCAAGATGACGATGTCCTTGTCCGCCTTGAGTTTTCTTAGTGCATCGCGTTCGACCTTTGGGAGCATTTCGCGCGGCTTGTGAGTCATAAGGAGGGACGGCACTTGGTGTCCAGTAAGGTTCTTCGTTTCCTCCGCCGCTTCTGTTTGATTAATGACCGATTGCACTGCTGCAATCATGTTGACAGGTTTGGCGTCAGCTGTGTTGAATGAGGCTTCGTGCCGTAAAACCTGTATTTGCTCCTTCGTCAGTTCCTTTGACGACAGGTTGTGTACCTGTATGCCGTCTCTGGATGACGTTGGATCAGGCAGTTTGTGGAATTTCTTCCCCAGTGTGCATCGCGTGTCGCTCTCTGCTCGCGGGCTCGTTCAGTCACCTTCTGCTGAAGCAGATTTACGCCGTCCTCGCCCATGAACTCGCAGCATCTGGCCTTCTCTTGGTCAATTCTCAGACGGAATTTGCAAAGCCGATTTCGGGATTCATCGCCTGAAGTCTTTCATTATTTTTTCGAAGCTTTGTTTCATCCGTTTATGTCTGCCAGCGAGTGAGCAATAATCTTTTTTAGATGTCGGCCTTTTCATCTGATTTTTCACATAAGGTATCTTAATTACCGCCTCCAGTGACCAAACGCCTCCCTCTAGCAATTTACACACGTCGACTTTGATTGCGAGTGGATCAGTCAGAGCGTTAATGACAACCTACGTTTCTTTTCGTCTAAAGGGCACTGAAGACTTTGCCAAATGGCCAACTGTAGGTCACCTGAAACATTTATGCGTCAGGCTGGGAAGTGTCGGAAGGTGCAATTAATTTATCTTCCGCCTTGCTGGATGGCCAATCACTACTCTCTCTGAGAAATGCAGGTGATCTCAGGAATCACATGCCTAACTGGTTCCTGCAGTGTGCGTGGGGATCACGTTTGCCAAAATTGTGGGAGATAGCTGCGTGGGCTATGATTAGCCGGCAAAAGGGCTAAGCAACTACTAATCCAGACTAGGCCTGTGTCTGTCTAGGTTCTCTGAGAGCAGACTCGTTGACCACGATTATTTAGTATGATGGAAGAACGTTGTGCCAGGGCTGGCCATAAGATTTTACGTTCAAGTCTGCACAGATAGGTAACTGCAACTGTCGATACTCAGCCCGAGTGGTTGAGCTTAGGCAATTTTGCTGAGATCCGAGAATTCGTTCTTGAATAGTCCTGCCCTTTGCCTTTGACTTAGAATTATTAGTGTGACAATCATAACATGTCTAACAAATGTCTGAGCTTTCGTCGTCTATGCCTTAGAAAACGCGTCCTTTTCGCTCAGTATGGCCATCGCAAACCCCGAAAAATGGCCTTCGACTTTCTTACCTTGATGATCAGGCAATCTTCAGTGTGGACATTTCAGGGAGAGAGGTGACAAAACAAGATACCAATAGGACGATCTGTTTATACCAACTCCTTCTCACCTTACCCTACTCCGTGAAGCATGCGAGTTGAATGCTTTGGTGAAAATGGGAAACTGTCAGGGGATTAGCTAATGGCAAATCGAATCCAATTGCACTGGGTACCTACTCTCCTAACCTGACTTCGACCCTAACCCTAACACAAATCATAACTCTAACGATCCTGCGCTTAGCCGTGATCCTAGCCCACCCCCCCCCCTGAATGCAAGGTGTGGCCGACTGTAATACGGATGGGCCATATTCCCCTGCCACATGTAAGATACTGCACTAAAAAGTTTCCTTCCGACCAGATCTTTTCAGACATCTGATCTGGGATAAACAGGCATTTTATGCAAAATATTTCATAACGTCTTCTGCAGGAGGAGATCACTGTCTTCCGCAGATAAACCCAGCGATTCTGGTGCGATCAGCAATTATTTTGGCTGAGGGCGAAGTGCCCATGTTGGCCTTGAGTATTTGAGTAGCATGTTTCCCTCTTCTCTCGTTTTAGTAAAATCGGACTCGTTTTGGACGCAAGGGGCTAAAGGAGCGGGCATCCCTGCACATTCTGCTGTATCTATGTAGTTACGCAGTCGCCATTTTGAGCGAGGTACCCTGATGCCAGCCATGGAATTGTCATCAGTTTATGACCAGGTTACCCAGTCTTCATCTGGAACCGACACGTCCACAGATAACATAGAAGTGGGATTTTATCTCTTCAAGACCCATTGTGGACTTATAGTCTGAAAGTCCATCTGTCATGACATAATTCCTATGTCCGGATCTATTAAGGACGCCACGAGTCCCCAGAAGTCGGAGTCGTTTAATGTGATGTCCTTTGCTGTCAAAATGGGGCAGAGTTTTTTTCATAATAAAGACCATTCATTCTAGGCCATTTTAGTAGTTCGCCCTGGGTACGTGGGCATTTAGCAGTCTTGTATTATGTGTGCTAACATAACTTTTTAAATTAGTTGAGTTACACCTCCAACTGAAAGCATCTCCTTTCTAGTCAACCCAAAGTTATAAATTTAAAAATTTCCCGTGGTTTTCAGAAGAAGCATATTTGCCTAAAATATCTCATTGTGTTGACCCAGGCGCGTCCAGCCACAGTGAACTCTAGGCTTTCGCAGTCTTTCTCTCCTAAAATATCACACTTTTGCCCTTTTTGCAAATTTTGCTTCTAAAATATGACTTACTATTCAACTAAAACGGCTTTACTGACAAGAGGTGGTACGTGGTTAATTCAGGGTAGTCGGCTTCTGAAACGGCGTGTCTTTTTCCGAATGTTGGTGAGGTTTTCGAGGCCTAACCTATTCAAGTTGGGATAAAAAAAGCTCCGAACAGCGAAAGCCGCTCTGTTCACATAGCATTTGTCATCCGCAACCAATGAAACACGAAGATACTAAAAAGAGCTGTCTTTTTTTTAAGAAGATAGCGTACCCCTCTTAGGAGAGGATTGCTGGCTCGCCCCTTGATATCACTGCGGTGAGAGTAGGAGTGCGCTTTTCGTAAGACTATTTGCGATGAACATTTGCAGAAGATTGAGCCAAAATAAAGTGTGCAGAATTCGTCGCAACCATGTCATTTCCATTAAGAATAATTCGAGGGTAAATGCGCGAACCGCAGAAGCGAGAAGATTTTTATTAGTATCCAGGCCAGGAAAGCGAATTACATCGACGGATTTGCAACATGAGAACTATTATTCTAGTAGTACTTAACGAAAATTAAGTGAGAAATATTCCGTTGTTTCTTCACGAAATTTTGAAGTACCTTCGCAAAAAGACTATGATAGATTTGACCACTTCGCGAATGCCTTCTCAGTAACTAAAGTCTTCGGTAAAGGACCTCCACGACAATGTTCTCAAGCGTCAAACTGAACATCTGTAGAAGTAACTTTTTTGACTGCCGGTTTTATTTTACCAAAACTCTAAATAACGAGCGGGTACTGCTATTACCTCTTCCCCCAGCCGTGACTGCAAGTACGTTTGCCGAAGTGTAGGCCGTGGAAAATAAACGTTTGGAGTTGTTTACCGGTCCTAGTGCAGTTGTGGGCAAGGCAGCTTTGTCGGAGAAACCGGAAGACTACTCCGTACGCGGATGACCGAGCACGTAACGGCAGTAAGGGGAAACGACGCCAGATCCCAAGTCGCGGCTCATTCGACGGAACCCAATCACGTATTCAAGCTTGACGAAACAGAAATTATATCTAGCGGCGATAGCCGCACGTGCCCCGAACTGCTCGAATGATGGTTTTCCGGTCCTTAATCAATAACCAAACGCAGCGATCTCCCCAGTTCATAGACGATGCTAGACTTTACTTAGGCAGAGTAGTTAGCCACGTGGAGAGCGTGCGGATGATCACTGTTCCTATTTTTAATGTCGGCAAGTCAAACTGCCAAAGATTGCGCACGGATGACGAAATCCGGCAGTCAGCATCTCGACCACGTGTGATGAGCGTGGGTGGCGATAATCTTGACTGACACACAAGCGCATAGTAACTGCACGGCGAATGCATGCTTCAACACCTGGCCAGTCGAGCTATGATGCACCCGGGAGCTGCCAACTGCGACAGGCATGTAGCGACCCGGAAACTGTACCATATAAACACTGCAACAGCTGGGTACTCCACTACCCCTATGTGACTCTCCCTGATGATGGTTTCGAGTGAGAATCCGAAACGAAGGTCATGTTTCAGCGATCGTATCTTCCTCCTCATGAGACAGCAGAATGGAAAAAAGGTGGTGAGAGTCGACGATTTTCCAACGGTTCGAGCAGCATTGACAAAAAAATCAACATGCTAAAGTTTATACTGATTATGGAACTTAATATGAGGTCAAGTTACCTTAAGAGGACAAACACAGACAGTCCGTGCAAGGACTGGAAACATGCCGACTCAAAACCGAGGTACTTTGGCAGAGACATCTTCCGGAAATCTGCAACATTCACGTATAAAGGATGAAATCCTTAAATAACCTGGGCAAGCCGCGATTAAACATACAATGAGCTGGCGTTTTGACCATGAATACGTAGACTTGGGGTCGAGATTCCTTTAGTGGAGGGACAATCTTCAAAAATGTAAGCATGACTGACCATTTATTTTGTTGAGAGACATTGTGCCTGATCACTGAAACAAGGCCTCCTATCATCCGCTCTCACTTTCTGCCATAACATACAGTGAGTGACTGATCTCATGAAATGTTCGCCAAAATTCTGAAATGCGTTTTCAATTAGGAAGGATTACTTAGGTGGGGTTGTAATACTGATTATCCAGCGGCATACTCCTATAACATTTCGGACTCGACAGGAAGTCAGCTTTGAAATGTACGTCTTTTTAATCTCCTGTGGAAGTCGTGCTCGGCACAAAATGACTACTAAGTAGCATGCATTTTTCCCATTGATTTTCGATGGTCTTGCAAATTCAAATACATTTAATAGAAAACGTTAGCAAAAATATGCTTTCTTTCATCCGCTTGATAGGGAACCACCTTATCTTCGCATTTTATACCCGAAGAAGGAGTATAATTAGGTTTTAAAAATGTTTCTAATTATTAAACGTTTTAGGACCGTGCGATGTCTATTCATACAACACTATACCTGCCCGTTTACCACTGCACCTCATGAAATGGGCAAAATAGTCCGCATCCATTGCAGGATTTTATGAATTTTCTATAAAATATTTTCAAAGGCATAGAAGAATTTGTGGTTTTCATTACGCGGAACGCATGAAGTTTGTAGATTGCAATAACTAGATGCTAAT